CAACTGTTTGAATTAAATTTCAGGCTTGATAACTGGATTTAGCTAACATCTTGAATTAAATTTATTTTGGTGTTCAATGAAAAAATGAAAAATCTCTGAGTTTAATTTTCATATAATTATCGGTTTTTAATTTATTGACCGATTAATTTATATTAAATATTAAAAAAATTAATCTGACGGAATAAAGTAAACTGTATTTTAAAAAAATCATTCAAAAAAATTAATTTTAAAATAAATTTATCTCATTCGATCATATTTAATTTAAACATGTATAAATTACATAAATATTTTTTTATACATCTGAGGTAAATACAATGTAATATTTGTTCAAAAACTCTCTAGTCTCAACCGATTAACTATGAATGCTCATACCCCTATCAATATTCGAACCCATGATCTCTAGGGATCTACGAGTTCCGTAACCACTGAGGTCAATTGGCTCGTGCATTATGTAAATATTTTAACCCCAATAAATAAATAAATAAATAACATCTCTTAATAAAGTGTTTATGATCACAAATTCAATTATTGAAGATACTAGTAAGCATTTGTTTATCCTCTTCTTGAAGGTATTCCATGTCCGTCAAATTGGAACTCTTAAGCTTATGGCATGCTAATTTCCATCCTTCAACAGATTTACCTCTCAAAGCCTTTGCTAATATCACAATTGCTAAAGGTAAACCTTTGCATCCTTTGGCAACTTCCATAGCCACCTCAGCAATTTCAGGATAAGCATTATCCAGCCTTGCATGCAACTTGAACAGTCTCCATGCTTCTTCTTCATCCAAAACATCGAGCGAAATCATCGATTGACATGTCATAGAGTCGCATACGTGTTTATTTCATGTCGAAAAAATAATTTTACATCCTCTGTGATCTTCACCAAATGGAATCCCAACATCCTTCAGGCTGAGTTCTTTGCGAATGTCGTCGAGGATGATAAGGACCGTTTTTTGGATCTTCAATCGAAGCCATAATTCCCCAGCTCTTCCTTCTCTAGTCGATTTTTCTAAATTCAAATCCAATGAGTCTGCAATTTTGTCTTGGATGTTGCCAATGTGTTGAGTTTCAGACACAACAGCCATCACAACATGATCGAAAAGTTGTGATTCTTTGGCTTTTTTTACCCACTGCATGGATTAAGGTTGTCTTCCCCACTCCACTTGTCCCCCAAACTCCAATCTTGTTGATTCCATCGTCTTTCAGTGCTTCCATGATCTCATTCAAAGCATAAGTTGAAGATTTAGATGCAATGTGGTCCTTCGGTGACAAGAATTCGATGCCGGGAAGAGTAACTCGATGACCAATCCGATCGAATTTCGAAGTGTCAACGAGTTGAGTGATCGACAGAGTCTTCTCATTGATCCCTTTACTTAGCCGATACCGCACACACAAATTAGGACAGCAATTGAAACACTTTCGATCGTCTTGAATTCTACTTTCCAGATTCTGTGCATCTTGCAAGACCTTTTCAACATTCGTCAGCCAATCTTCAACATCCTTCACGATTTGTCGATTTTACAATTTCGGGTATGTTTGTTTGGTTGTAATTAGTTTTCTGGAAATTGAATTCTGGAAAATAAATTACTGGAATTTAAATTCTGAAAAATGAATTATATTTCTGAAAAACGTTTTCCGAAAATATTTTTCCGTAAAATGAATTACATTTTTATGAAAAACATCTAGAAAACGTTTTACGATGTTTGGAAGATATTGTTTAAATATTTTTTCTACTAGTTGATGAGTTTTTTTAAAAATTATTTATTACAAATATTAAATAAAACAAATAATATTATTTATTATAATAATATAATATATTATATTATATTATATTTTTATTTTAATAATATATAATAAATTATTAATAAAATTTATATTATTTATTAATTTCATAGAAATAATATTATTAAATTATTAATAATGAATAATATTATTTATATATTAATATTAATCTAATAATCTAATAATATTTTAATAAAGATATTTAAAATATAATAATTAATATTTTTAAAATATAATATAATACTATTACTTTAATAAATAATTAATATAATTTATAATATTTTTATTTCAATAAAATATTCCAATATTAATATTTTTATTAATAAAATTATAAAAATAATATTTAATAATAAATAAATTATTTTAATATTTTAAAAATAATAATATTAAGTTTTATGATAAATAATATTATTTATTTTATTTAATATTTATATTAAATAATTTGTTTTTAAAAAACTCATCAACTAGTGAAAAAAATATTTAAACAACATCTCCAAACATCGTAAAACGTTTTCAAGATGTTTTTCAGAAAAATGTAATTCATTTTATGGAAAACATTTTCTTGAAAACATTTTCCATAAATGTAATTCATTTTCCAGAATTCAAATTCCAATAATTTAATTTCTTAAAAATCAATTACAACCAAACAAACATACTCTTAATTTGCAAATATTAAACAATGACTTGGGCTTTTGGATATACAATCAGTCTGCTCCAAAACCAATTATAAATTTATATACAGAGTGAAATCTTACCTGCTCTTTTTTTAAATAATTTATAGTAATTATAAAATAATATAGGTTTATAATTTTTATTTTTTAAGTCGTAGAGAACATAGATAATAGCAAATATTAAACAATGACTTAGACTTTTGGATCTTGAAAATGTTAAAACAACGACTAAATAATAAAATAATACTACTAGTTGGGTGGCAATTATCAAGACTATAAAATATTAATTAAGGGGAAACTAAACCCCTTGCTCACTAAAATTTGAGTAAAATTATATTTTAACTACTGAAGTTTCAAGAGATACATTATGATCACTATAGATCACAAAATGATCACTGTATCGTAACTATCGTTAATGTTCATTACAGTAATGACATGACACATTAAAAAAAAAGATAGATATAATTGAGCCCTAAATTATAACTAAAACCTCAGTTTAATTCTTTTAATAATTGTTTAGTTATAATTTGAAAAATGGAAGGAAAAAGAAGTTAGTGTGTATGGATATTGCTGTATAAGGAGCAAGTGAACCTTGCAGGGTTTGCTGTACATCGACACGAGAGGTATCCTTGTGGTCCTTATATTTTTATTCGTCCGATTTTCACCATCAGTTTAAAAAATAGTGGTTTTAGTTCCTCATGTTATCGGTTCGTTTAGTTTTAGTCCCTCGGACACTCTCGTTAACCCATTAAAGGAAGTCTGAGTTAGTAATTGAAAAATAGGGTAAATTATATGGGTGGTCCCTTATATTTTTGATTTGTTTGATTTTGGTCATTGGTTAAAAAAGATTTTGATCTCTTGCGTTATCATTCCGGTTCGATTTTAGTCCATCGACCGTTAACTCCCATTCAAGGAACCAAAACCGAATAGACCGGTAACGTAAGGAACCAAAACCTCTCTTTTTTTAATCGATGACTAAAATTGAATAGATCAAAAATATAAAGGACCACCCGTGTAGTCTATCATATATATATATATATCTTGTCAAACCATAATAAAATAGGTGATTAAGGGTAATAGTTAATGTAATGTCATTTTAACCCTTATAATTGGATTCTAATTTCTTCAAAATCCTGTTCTAAAATCTTAATTATTTTTTATATAATATGTCACATCATCATCTTTTCATACATGGATATGCCACATCTGCATCTCAAGTCATGTAAATATATTTTATTAGTAAAAAATATTGAATTATTAGGGGATTATAATTTAATATCTATAAAAAATATTTTATAAAAATAAAAATAGAAATAATTGTTTAAACAAATATTATGACCGAATTTTAACATTATATATAAAAATAATCTCAAAAACCACATCCCTAGTAGTTATAAATTAACTGTTCACTCATTTTCTTCCTCTTCTCTACTCAGAAATTACATTGCTCAATTATATCAGATGAGTACCTTATCCTGGGGATTGCACATAACGAGGTTAGCGATAATATTAATTAATTATGGAATCATTTTAATGACAAGGAGATATAACCTAACATAATTTTAATTAAGAAATAATATGACATAGTAATCGCTTAAGTCTGACTAGAAAAAACATCACCACTTGACTATAAAAAACAGATCCGAGAACATACTAAACGACGACTTAGACTTTTTTTTAAAAATAGTATAAATTACATAATATTCTTTTATTTTTCATATCATGTCATTTTTTAATTATTTTTATATGAAATATATGTTATATAATTATGATATATTTAAAATTATAAGTTTAATTTCTTAATTTCGTCACTCGTTTAACAGAAGTTAACAAACAGATGATCATATATAAATCGATAATATTAACAATCATAATTATAAGTAATTTCTTAATTTCGTCACTCGTTTTATTTTGGTTATTCAACTATTATTTTTTAAAATAATAATACAAATTTATATTTTTGTTTCATTTTTTTAAATAAACATAATTGTTAATATGACTTTTTTTAAAAATTTTTAATAATGACATGACATTACATTATGATGATAGGTCTGCATTGAGTATGATCAAAACGGAATTAAAACGTAAGTTTAAGTATAATTTAAAAAAAATAGTTGGGTAATCAAAATAGAACCGCGATAATAATTAAGTGAGTATTACGTAGTTTACCCTATTAATTAATACGAAATTTTTGTAACGCGGTGGATAGAAATATATAAATATATAATATGTTTTTAAAAAAAATTAATATAGTATAATTAATAATAATAGTAATCCGTTTAAAAATAGAGTAAAATATGTAAATAATCTCTTAATTATACAATGTTTTAAAAATCACGATGATAATATAATTTCTTAATTATATAGTATTTTTTATTAAGTCCTCGATTATGAAAAATATAAAAATAATCATAATTTAATTAAGGGAAAATTAATTTAATCTACATTAACCATCAACCTCTGCTTCAAACGACATTTTCAAACATGGTAATGCTTGTGTCAAGCTATTAACAATTAAAAGAGCCTCACACACGTCTCGTTAACAACAGTCATTAAGTTTTCAAGTTTCTCTTAAACTTGTGGTCTGTGTTAAGAATCCCAAGTGCTAAGTCCTAATTCTGTTCTTTGATTTTCAAGTCCTAAACAGCTGCTCTTTCTTCATCTGGGTTATTAAATCCGCTTCTCTTTTTCTTTGGCTTTTTGCTTTGACTTTATTTTTCTTTCGTAAAAAAAACTTCAAAAAGAAAACCAGCTCTCACTTCTTTTGCTTCAGTTCAAATTATATCTAATCCTGTGGCTAATTAAGGGAAGTTTGTAGGTAAGAATCTGCTCTTTGTTCTCATTTATGGCGTTTGCTGTTTTACCATGGAAACTAAAGATGAAGGCATTGAAACTAATACTGCATGCTAACGCCAAATCTTACATTATTATTGTTTCTGGTTTCGTGCTGATGAATATTTTTATTTTACTTTTTTTGTAGATTTGCAAAATCTGGTTGGAATTGGATAGCTGGTCTGTAATTTGTGGGATCTGAATTGGATCTATTTCTCTGCTAAGCTCGGATCTCAGTAGCCTCATATCCTTGTTACAAGGTTGGTCAACAAATTTAGTTTATATTATTATTTAATAATACGTATTTTTATTTAGTTTTAAATTTAGTGTAAACATATAAATATCTATATAAAAATATTAAATTAATATTTTATTGCTTTACAATAGTGAAGTGAACTTCTGGACGCCTAAGGTATCGTTTGATAAATTAAAAGTTTAAGTGTTGAAAAAGTAAATGTTAATATTTAAATACAAAACTGTTTGGTATTTTATTTAAAATTAAACATTAAATATAATTACATTGTTTGATAATTATATTGTTTAATAAGTGTAAACATCCGATGGGTATTCACCTCTAGGCCTTTAAACAAGTAAACGTTAAGTGAACCGTTTGTAAATAGTTCGACGGGAAGTTTATTTAGATTCGTTTGTTTATTAAATTAATAAACATGAACAAGATTTTATGTTTGTTTAATTAAATGAATGAATACAAACAAATGGCTCGTTCGTTAATTTACATTCATGAATGTTCGGTAACTCATTCATTTATGTTCGTTCGATTATATTCAACGCAATCTCCATGCCCTTTTGAAATATTAAGACTTAATAATTTTAACCTTAAACCCATTAATATTTTAAAACCTAATTAATTTTAAACCCAAATAAAAAATACTCAAATCAATTAAAGAAAATATAAATCCTAAAATTATTTAGAAAGAAAAAAAAATCTCTTCTCATATATAAACCCTATTAATTTTATATTTGTTCGTTTACGTTCGTTTGCTTATATTCATTTACCATTTTAACGAACACGAACACAAACAATAAATTTTTTTCGTTTAGCTGTTCGTGTTCATTCATTTATTCGGTTAAAGTTAAATGCCTATTCACCCCCTATTTTTTTGGGTTCACGGGTGGTATCTCGGTCATATTTTTGACCCATCGTGTTGTTGAATATTTAATTCTCTTTATATATATAGATATATATATTTATATTTTTCATTTCACTCACTCAAATTATTTCATATAATATTAGATTTTAAATTTAATTTTTTAAATTATTCACTCAATATTCTAATTATTTCTTTTAACCTCAAACATTTAAAGTTTACTTTTATTTTAATTGTCTTTCCTTTTCTTTTTAGTTTTATCTTTATATTAATTAATTTAAACTTTTTATTCGTTAAAGTTAAATGCCTATTCACCCCCTATTTTTCATGGGTTCACGGGTGGTATCTCGGTCATAATTTTTGACCCATCGTGTTGTTGAATATTTAATTCTCTTTCATATATATATATATATTTATATTTTTCATTCTCACTTCTCAAATTATTTCATATAATATTTTAGATTTAAAATTTAATTTTTTTAAATTATTCACTCAATATTCTAATTATTTCTTTTAACCTCAAAACATTTAAAGTTTACTTTTATTTTAATTGTCTTTTCCTTTTCTTTTTAAGTTTTATCTTTATATTAATTAATTTAAAACTTTAAATTCTATATATTTAAATTATGTATTATAAACTTTTAATTTTTATATTTTTCAGATGATTTTTTAAATAATATAATTTGAAAATCTTAAAAAAATACTTTAAATACATTTAAGCATTTTGGATATCTAAAAATACAGATACTATATAACTCCGGGTTCCCCCCAAGGCCCCAAGTATATAATGTTTTAAGTTTGTCGAGTGTATTATCTACCATTTTGCATAGGCTTAGCAGATTGTTATCTGAATTCAGATTAACGACGATGGCGGAGGCTTTCTGTCTTGCTGCTGCTGCTAATGCCGTTGGAAATATGATGGGAGACTATTTGGTGAAGCCAATTGAACGTCGTATTCGTTACTTGTTTCGTTTCCGTAACATAGTGAAAGAGCTCCACCAACAGCAAAAGAAATTGGCTATAGAACAAAGTCGAGTTCAAGAGGACGTTAAAGAGGCTAAACTGCAGATTCAAACTCAAATAATCGAGGACTATGTAGATGAATGGTTGACAAACACAAAAAATGCCTTAAAGGATATAGAGAGTTTGGACGGTAGAATTGAAGAAAACAGGAGATGCTTACGTTGGTGTCCTAATTGGTGTTGGCGATATCAATTAAGTAAGGAGATCGAGAAGAAAACAGAGGATATCAGTAAACTTGTAGAAAACTCCCACTTTGATCGAATCGGCCATCGTGCTGAGCTTCCAGGCTTAGAGTTCGTCGCATCTAAGGGTCTTGTGCCTGCCAAATCTTCGACTGCTGCTTTCAACAAGATCATGGAGGCGTTGAAGGATGATGGGATCAACATAATCGGAGTGTGGGGGATGGGAGGGGTGGGTAAAACCACCATAGTCAAAGAAGTTGGCAATAATGTCAAAGGATTTGGTCCACCTATAATGGTTGTTGTATCCAACTTTCCAGACATAGGCGAAATGCAAAACAAAATTGCAGATGGCATAAACTTGAAATTTGAAAAAATGACCGTAGGCGACAGAGCGAAGGAGTTATGGAGTAGATTGAAAGATGGAACGTTCCTCATAATCCTTGATGATCTGTGGAAGGATTGGGATGGTGCAGGCCACTTGAGGAATATAGGCATTCCATTGGTTGAAAATGGGAAGGGCTGTAAAATCATTTTAACAACTCGTCGCAAGACAGTATGCCAATCTATGGAGTGTCAAGTTATTGTTCCAGTTGACATCTTGGATGATGCTGAGGCATGGGATTTATTCACAATGAAAGCTAACCTTGATAGAAGTGTTTCAAGCGAGATTGTTGAGGAGGCTATGAAGGTTGCAGAAGAATGCAAGGGTCTACCTGTAGCAATTGTAACACTAGCAAGAGCTTTAAAAGGTACCAAGACTCGTAAAGGATGGGAATTAGCCCGCAAAAAACTTCAAAGCAGTAGATTAATAGAGATCGGTAACATTGAAGAGGAATTCGACAAAGAAGACGATGCGGATCGGAAAAAAAATGCCTACTGGTGTATTAAGATGAGTTACGAGTACTTGAAGAAGGAAACGACCAAGATATGCTTCTTGTTGTGTGCTTTATATCCAGAGGATCACTCAATTGATGTGGAAGACGTGGTGCAACATGCTTGGGCTTTGGAGTTATATGGCAAGTTTGACTCAGTTGAAGATGTGAGGACTGTAGTCTCGGAAGCCATTGACTACCTCATAGATTCTTGCTTGTTGTTAAAGGACGAAGATAAAGATGGTGGAAGGTATGATCCTTAAACTCTAGGGCAAAACTACACATATTGTTCAAGTTATCCATTTATACTATTGTTCCTCTTTTAAACTTTATTTTTTCTCTAAAGATAATAAATTAATAAGCATATTAACTTTCATATTGCTCTGGTTAGGAACGTTAAGCTACATGATATGGTTCGTGACGTTGCTCTATGGATTGCATCCAAAGAAGATAGTGGTTTTATGATAAAATCTCGTGTCCAATTACTGGATGAAAGCCCTGAACCTTGTAAGGCGATCTCACTGTTGGAAAATGTAGCAAAAAGATTTCCCGAGAGACTGGTATGTCCGAAGCTTGAGATGTTGTTGCTCAAGAACTGTGATGTACACGGCATATATTTCCAGGGGATGCAAGAATTGAAGGTTTTAAGTCTTACTATGCCAAGAAGATATAGAGGGCCTATTTGTTTTCATCCTTTTCCGTTGGGAAAACTCCGTGCTCTACATTTGGAAAATGTTAAGGACTTGCCATTCCTAGGAAATCTAAGGACGCTTGAGATTCTTAGATTGCGAGATTCAGGATCCGCGACATTGACAGATGACATAGGAATGTTGGAGAATCTAAAGATATTGGATCTAGAAAAATGTGGATTTTTCTCCGGATTTCCCCGCAATGTGATTGGAAGGCTGTCTAAGCTGGAGGAGTTGTACTTGAGGGATGTAAACTTGAAGGAGGAAAGTAGGGATATCCTTCTGGAGATAAATTTATTAACCAAATTGAAGATACTATACCTTGGGGTATCTTCTTTACATTTTCCAGAAGATCACTTTGAGCTCCCAAGATTAGAAAGATATGAAATTTGCATAAACTCTCTTTCTCGTGGCTCAGATGGATCTTTACGCACAGAAAGATCCTTGAAAATTAAGGAAGCGTGTCATTTAAATCTAGTTTCACAATTACTTGAGAATTTAGAGTCTCTGGAAGTGAGATTACTCGAGGATGAGTACATAGAATGCTTGAGTGATAAAAAGCAAAAGAAGGTGTCAGTTCCAATGATTTTACGAAAGCTAAAGCAAGTAAGGATTTTAAACTGCAGGAGCCTCAAAGTGGTATTTCAGACGGATAATGTAAAAGAAGATGCTGTACCACTGCTCTCCAAGTTAGAGCACTTAGAACTTCGACATTTGCCTAATTTGAGCCAAATTTGGGAATTCCCAACCCAATGTGTTAGACTTCAAAGTTTAGTGCATTTAAAGATATGGAGTTGCCCCATACTAAAGTCAGTCTTCTCGGTTTCTCTCGCTCAAAGTCTCGCACTCTTAGAAAACCTCGAGGTAGACTACTGTGGTGAGTTGAGGCAAATAGTCACAGAGTTGGAATGCCATGAGGAAGAAATATCATCGAGCATCAATTCTCCCAATTCTTTGTGCTTCCCAAAGTTAACAACACTCCGCATAGGAAAATGTGATAGGTTGGAGTATATTTTTCCAACATCGATGGCGCCAGAAGGGCTTCCACAACTGGAAATTCTTACTATGGATGCTTGTCCTCTATTAAAACAAGTGGTCAGACCTATTGAAGGAAGGACGGAAAATGACATTTTGCTCCTGCAGTTTTCGAAACAGTTGCTGGAGTTTTCAGTGTCGGGTTGCACTTTGTTAACTGATTCATTTGTTCATTTAGAAGTTGAGAAGGCCAGCTTCAAGGTACTTCTTTTACCTCCTTTTCTGGTTACTCTTATACATGTTCTGCCTGGTTAAGTTTTATACATGTGGAGTTTTTTTGAAGCTCTCCAGCCAAATGCATGCATTGTTGAGTTTTAAACATAATACGTACCTAAATCATTCATTTGTGTATAAAAAAATGCAATCAATCTCATCCCTTAACTTTCACTAAAAGGAGAGTAAGTAATCATATTACTAACTGGTATGCAATTTCTTTGTTAATTATGTGATGAAACGCAATCAGGGGGTTCAATTATCAGCATTCAAGGGATCGTTCAGCGGCTCCAAACATCTTCATCTATCTGCAATTGAGGATCATAATCTGGTTCCAGATGCAAAGGCAGACGGATTAAATGGATTAACATCCCTTGGAATTATGGGATGCAAGCATCTTGAATGCTTGGTTGATACCATAACAAACAATGCGCCAGCCTCTGCATTCACTCATTTGGAGGCATTATATACGGCTAATATGGATGCTTTGCAAACCTTATGCAGGGGTGAGCCTCCACGGGGTTTTCTGGAGAACTTAAAAGTACTGGCTGTAAGACGATGTAATCATTTCCAAGTGCTGTTTCAAATGGAAGAAAATCAAGGCAAACCATTTCCAAATTTACAATCTTTGGAGCTCGATGATTTACCGGAATTGAGATGGATATTAAGAAGCTCAACCCATTCTTTTAGTCTCCAAAGTCTTAAGGTAGTGAATATATTTAGGTGCAACAAATTGAAATCCCTCTTCTCACCTTCCCTTATTCAAAGCCTAGTGCAGTTGGAAGAAATCAAGATAAACAACTGTGACGGATTGAAAACTCTTTTCGCTGAGCTGGAGAATGGTGTTGCTACAGAATCAAGCAGTTCTCTCCCTCCTATGTTGTTGCCAAAATTGACAACTCTTCACATCCATGGTTGTGGAGAACTAGAATATATTCTTCCGGTCACTTTGGCACAAGGTCTTCCCGCTCTTGCAATTATTTCAGTTTCATATTGTGATAAATTAAAGCAAGTCTTTGGCATGGTAAAAGAACAAAATGCAGTTGGACAAAGGAATACCGTGCTCCTTGATGTTCTACAAGAACTGCGACTTTGTTCTTTAACAAACTTATGTTGTTTTGTTCCGGAAAACTATGTTTTCAAAGCTCCAGCCTTGGAAAAATTAAATGTTGATGAGTGTCCTCAATTGATGAACTTTGCCATTGACCAAGATAAGAAGAGCCTGCTTTTAACGGTAAACTTCTTTCAACTTTTTTTTTTCATTATGCTTTTCTTTTTCTCCTCCTACTCTAAAGAAAAAAGAAATTAAAAGGTAATGATTTTCGAGTGAAAATGGTTGCTAAGAAAGAAGAAAAATGAAGGTTTTAGTTATCATTTATATACTATAATTGAATGAATCCCAAATTCTAAAGTCCTATTTTTATATTATTAATCCCATACGTAGTTGAGCCCATTATATTTCCTTTGTGATCTTACTGACAATCATTGTATTTTATTTTCGTTTATGTCGTGACCTATGCTTAGACTGGTGGATCTATTGCATTTGTGGATTTGCCATTTAAAAGGGATCTTCGTTTAGACGGATGGGAGGCACTTGAAAGCTTGGTTCATGCAACGCAAGTAGTTATTGGTTTATGCACCGGTCAACCTCCCCAGGATTTCCTACAAAATCCCAAAAACCTGATAGTTAGAAGCTTTGAACAACTGCGGGAGGTCTATGGAAACAATGAGTTTGTTCATAACAGAGAGGAAAATCAAGCACCGCCATTACTGTCTAATTTGGAGCATCTGAGTCTAATATCTTTGCCAGAATTGAGATGGATAGTAAAAAGCCCCGCCCATCCTGCTAGCTTCCAAAGACTAACGGTTTTATGGATAGAAAATTGCAACAAAATGGAATCTCTCTTCTCACTTTCCTCCATTCAAACCATATGTTCGCTGCAAGAACTCCACTTAGTTTATTGTAATGATTTGAAAAATGTTTTCGTGGAGTTGGGAAGTACTGATGATGATCAAATCAAGTCCAGCAGCATACTTTGCTTGCAAAACTTGAAAACTGTGGAGATAAAACAATGTCCAAGTCTAGAATATGTCTTCCCGCTTGCTTTGGCTGGCGGTCTTCCTTGCCTGCAACAGATATGTCTTGATGATTTAGAAAAACTAAGTGGCTTTGTTGCGACACCCGCTTCGGGAGTGTTGGATGTCAATGGAAGTCCTGGATTCACCAACACCACCATTCAAGAAGAGAGTGTCCCATTAAATGTAATCTTTCTCTTATCTTTCTTACCTCTGGTTTTAAAAGCAAACAGTAATAGTTGCTCTTCATTTTACACAGGAGTTCCAAAGTAGTGATGATGTTGAGATAGAATCAAACACACTTTGCTTGCCAAACTTGCAAATTGTGGACATACGTAGATGCCCCAGGGTGGAATACTTTTTCGAACTTCCTTTGGCTGGAGGTCTTCCTTGCCTACAGCAAGTACATCTTGCTGGTTTAGAAAACCTATGTGGTCTTGTTGCAGGAAATAATTTCGTCGAAGCACCAGTTTTGGAAATTTTGAATGTCAGCGGATGTCCTCGAGTTACGAATCTCGCTATTCATAAAGAAATTCTCAAGTGCGTCCCAATGAAGGTTATCTTTCTTTTACTCATTCCCCTTTGTTCTGTTTTTGTTTTAAATACTTGATTGATTATTCAAGTGTGTCCTCTTACTATTACACAGGAGTTAGCTTTATCTATTCCGGAATTCATAATTGACCCCGAGTCATGCACCATGGTGAACATCCCACCGGAACAAAGACCACCGAGCTCTGAATATATAAATCTGGGAAACTTTGAACAACTGTTTCAGCTGCAAGGTGGATACTCCATCTCAAATCTGGAGATAATGACAATCTCTAATGTAATTTGGCTACGAGATATATGGAAGGGTCCCATCCAGTGTGCAATCAATCTCGGAAGCTTAACCATACACTTCTGCCATAGCTTGACATACATCTTTCCAATGATGCTCATCCGAAATTTACCACAATTGAACTATCTAAGAATAGAAAAGTGTGAGAAGTTGGAGCAGATAATTGCGATTGATGACATTTTAACAACATCATCATCATCACAAGGTCGACCCTTTGAGAAGATAATAGAATTCCCCCGATTAGCGGAAATACAACTTCAAGATTTGCCAAGTCTCGTGAGCTTCAGCCCTACGGGCTATCATCTGATATTCCCAAGTTTGAAATCTTTATACATTGAGAATTGTTACAAGATGATCACAAGTTTCACGGTCGACCATTTAACATTATCTATGCATGCAAAAACAGATCAGGTATTTAGTAACTCATTTCGCTTTTACTTGTGTTTCATCATTAACTTTTTTTTCTGCGACGAATTTGAATAAACTTCCTGTTATTTTGTGAAGGCACCCCCACTGCATTATAATATATTCTGGGAAAGCCTTAGACCTTTTTCACTGCCTCAATATGTGGAAGAAGCCGAAGGAATTTCAAGATTGAGCTGAAAAATTTTGCAAAAGCATGCTTGTGCCTGAATCTTCCCTCAATATCACGACCAGGTAAATATGGCATCATCATCTGCCGATCGATCAAGCTGATTATTTTATGGAGTTGTATGCTCAGCTGAGGTTTCTCTGCCTCAGTGTTATTTAACTTGTTGCCAAGGACTTTTAATTTGTGTTCTATTAATTGTTTTCGAGACTTTAACTTATTTGCTACTTTCATAAAAGAACATACAATCTAGATGGTTGGTTCTTGTTGCTTTTAGGTGCTGTAATTTGTTGATTTTGTTTGCTATAAATGCATGAGAAAGGGGGATTTGCTAGGTAGAAATCTTAGTTCATGAGAATTCTTAGCATGACAGAAACTTAACTAAATCTCTTCTACTCTTTGAAACCAACTTTTTTAGGATTAAGTTTTCTTTATAACCAGGTAATATCATAAAAAAAATTCCTTTAATATCGCTCTGAAGAACCCTGTTTCTATGTTGCTAATTTCGCAAGTGTCCGTTTTTCGAGGGTTTTGTGATGCCATTATGGGTAAATAGACATATGTCATTATTCAATTGTGGGCCTTTGCTATGGACTAATGGAAGAGTCTAAAATAATTGTTAATGTAAGCTTAAAAAACGATCAAAATTGGTTACAATAAAAAATGTTATTAAAATTTATCCCAAAAAAATGTTATTAAAAGTGTATTTTTTAGGTTAGATAAGATACCATTTTAGGTTGAATCAAAATGTTATCTTTCTCTAACCAAAAACGTTATAAATTTGTATTAACTTATTTAGTTGTAAACTTTAAAACCATCGCAATATAACATTATTAGTTGCAACTGAAATATTATAAATTTGAATTTTTTTAGGTTGAACGTGATAACATTTGAAGTTAAAAATTATCTTAAATTAATTGTCGCGACAAAATCACTCTTCTGTTATGCACTTTATGTCTAAAAAACTTTAACGAAAATAAAAATTAATTTGATTTATCAATTAAAATTAACGGAGAAGATGATATGGCAATTAATAAAATTTGTATAATTACACATTTAGTCCTCATTACTTACACATTCTATTAATTTGGTTCTAACATTGATTTAATTCAATAAATTTAATCCTCAATCCAATTATGACATGTGTCATTGTGTGATTGGACTTTTTTAATAGTTTTTATTTAATAAAATTTTCAGCTAATCAAATGTTGCACATGTCAACAATTGAATGAATGGAAAATAAATTAAATCAATAATCGTTGTTGGTGAGATTTGAACCTGGGACACAAGGCAAAGATCTAAACACTAACAACTAAGCTAGACCTCTAAATTTGTCTAGTAAATAGAACATTATATATAAAATTTATAATATAGTTAATGGTAATAAATGACCTTATAAGGACTCAAACATGAAATAATTGAATAGTATGATAATATAAATATATATATATATATATATATATAATTGATTAATAAATTAATATGTTTTATTTATATTTAAATCACATTTAATGTAAAAATTAAAATAAAAGTGAATTTAATATTTTATAATTAAAATATATCATTTTATATATTTTAAATTAATAAATTATCTTCATTATTCTAATTTTATTGACCTGAAATGTATCATATCTTATAATTTAAAATATTATAACATCGATCGGGTTCTAATATTATTTAACTCTATATTAAAGTGAACTAAGGTTCGAGTCTAACTCACAGAATAACTGGTAATTAGGCCAGGCTTTTTTTTATTCTTTTGTAGTGTGGCTTATACCAATTATTAAATTGGATAAAATGCAACGTTAGCTACTAAACTTTAGATGATATATCGATTTTGTCTCTAAATTTTAAAATACTTTAATTTAAACATTGAATTTCAGTTTATGAGTCAATTATGATATTGGGTCGTCAAGTCATTAACAACGTGATGATATAATTGTTTCTTCTTATTTTATTTTTTTTGCAAAATTATCAACTCTCGCCATTTTTATCAATTGTTGTTTATCACTGGTAGTTATTTGTGGGAATATTGATATCAAAACATTCATATGACAATCATACTTTTTCCTCGTATTTGTTTTCCATGAAACCTACCTAAAATCAATAAAAATACATTTTAATATTTTATGTTCTAATGCTTCCATCTTATCTATTAATTGTCTGACGATGTTAGTTTTAATATATATTGTTTGTACTCTTATAAGAATGTTTCTCATCATTTAGATTTTTTTTATTTTACAATTATTCTAAATCCCTCAAATATGAGAAAGTCATTAAAAACGCAAAATGATATTTTTTTATGTTTAATTTCGTGGGTTTTAAATAAGTTTTGAGAAAATCTAAATTGATAGTGATAAAAGAAGACAAGACAAGATGATCGATGTGTAAAGTGGTTGTAAAAGACATCATAGTATCGTTTCGAATTTAACAGTCTAGTACCCTAATTGAACTCTAAATAAAATTCAAAGTTTAAAGAGAAAATAACTTCAGTGACCGAAAATGCCTTATAATATACGATTTTAACCAACCTTTTTTGGAATTGCGAAAATGACCAAAAAATTCGCAACACGAACTTCAATTTCGCAACACAATTTCCAAATTCGCAACTCAGTTTCTGTAATCGCAACGCGAATTTCTTTCTCACAACGCAATTTTAAAATTTGCAACACGATTTCCAAATTCGCAACACAGAATTTCAAATTCGCAACTCGATTTCTGAATTTGCAACACGAATTTCTTTTTCGCAACACAAGTTTCCTTTTCGCAACAAGATTTTCTAAATCGCAACACGAATTTTGTTTTCGCAACTCGATTTTCGAATTCGTAACACGAATTTTAATTTCGCAACAGCTTTTATTTTCGTAACACAAATGTTTTAGGTATATAAACTACGCAGCAGCAGCAACTCATAACCTAAATTCCTAAATCGCAACTCATAACCTAAATCCCTAAATCGCAACTCATTCCATCTCCATCTCTCACTCTCTCCGGCGATATCCGTTCCTATATCCAACGACATCCTTCCCCATCCCTAATTTTTTTAATATAAATTTTATTTCTATATAATTTTCAATGATTTCTCTCCCAAATTATCAACTATCAACTTAATAAAGGTATATTTTTCTCTAAGTTAGTGATGATATCTAGTTCATAGCTCGTTTGTTTAGTAAATTAATTTACAATTTGTAGAATGAAATCATCTAATGTTGATCATGTTTGGATAGATTTGTGTTTTGGAGGGTCATGGGAGAATGTTAATGGTGTTTTACAATATATGCCTTTACCCATGAGTCTTCAACTAAAACTGTCATTAAAAAAGTTAACTTATGAAACTCTAATGTTACGTGTTGCAAAGAAATTGAATTTAGAGCCTCTAAGTGGATTTAGGATATCTTATCAGAGAAAAGGTAAAGTTTATTTATTAACCGACAATGAAGATGTTGAACGATTCATTGCTTACATTAGTGTTTCGCAAGATGATGTTACATTGTATGTTGTTGAACCTAGAAGTAGTGAAGTTGGGTCAGTAGCGGGTAGTAATCAACTAAGTTCTTCAACCCCAGTTTATGGTACTCACAATGTACAACATTATTATCAATCTCAAAATTTAATGGTTCCACCACAATTTCATCACCAAGAAAATTTTGTTTCACCACATTTCCAATACCAAACACAATATCAAACACAATCTCAAAACCCACAACCTTTCCCTAATCCAAATCCCAATCAACTTTCAGCACCAAATTCTAGTTTTCGTATTGACCCGTTAGACGATGATGAGCCAACAGAAAAAATTGTGAGTACTAGTCAGTATTCGAAATTTGATCTTGGTCAATACCCGGACTTTGATCTTCGTCAATACTCGGATTTTGATGATGTTTCAGAAGAAGAAACAGACCCTACGTATAATGATTTTGATATTGGTCAATACCCGAATTTTGATGATGAAACAGCCGCTGCCGAGGAAGATGTTGATGATAATGAGGAGAAAGTTACGACTGTGAATGAACATGTTGAACATCCATTTTGTAATTCATATAACCCTGAAGAAGAAGAAAAAGAAGAAAAAGTCCCCGAAGAAAAGAAAAAGAAGAAAATGCCACGAGAGTATAACTGGAATATGCCAGAATTACTTCAGATACCGGAAGAAGAGTTGGTAAAGATAGCAGCTGATTGTTACACAAAAGTTATTCGTATCAAGAAAGATGATTGTTTTGATATAAAGGAAGACTTGAAGATAGCTTTGTATACGAAATGTGTGGAAGATGGCTATCAACTAAAAGTTAACAAATCAAGCAAAGATCGTTTCGAAACAATGTGTATGATTGACAAAAACTGTACGTGGCGTATGATTGCAAAGAGGATAAAAGATTGCGAAATGTTTCAAGTTAGGATTTTTATTGATAAATATACATGTTCAAGAACCCAAGTTTTTCCTCACCATAGACAGGCAAACAAAAAGGTGTTGGTGGTTTTCTGGCTGAGTTAATGTTTTTGAATGACAGGGTATATCGGGGACATGAAATTATGACTGACATGAATGCTCGGTTCAAGATTAGTATCTCATATTCTCAAGCTTAGAGAGCCAAATGTTATGCCTTGGAATTGTTGAGGGGGTTGCCAGAAGCATCGTTTTCCCAACTGCCGACTTATTGTCACAATTTAAAGCTGAAAAATTATGGGTCGGTAACTCATATCAAAACAGATAGAGATGGACGCTTTGAGTTGCTATTTATCGCCATTGGTGCTGCGGTTAGTAAATCAATATAATTTTGTTGACTCATTTTTGTTAGTTACATGCATTTCACATTTAAATGATTATATTTCTTGTGTATATTATTTTGTAGATTCGTTCGTTTATTACTTGCATGCGCCCAGTTATTATAGTTGACGGGCACATTTGAAAGGTCGATACCTTAGAGTAAACTTATTAGCAGTAGCCATGGATGCTAACAATGGGATACTGCCAATAGCTTACGGGGTTGGCAAATTTGAAACCTCTTATTCATAGACATGGTTTATGGGGTATCTTACACTAGTAGAAAAAACCCCTTTAATGACGCGCATTGCGTGTCATCTATGGGTACGGATGACACACATTTACCTGTCGTTGAAGCCACCGACATGAATTTAAGATGACGCGCAATTGTGCGTCATAAATTTATGACACACATTTATGACGTTCATTGAGCGTCATTGAAGCCCCCGTCATAAATTAAGATGACACACATTTGTATGTCATAAATTTATAACACGCATGTATGACTTACATTTCGTGTCATTGAAGCACACGCCATTAAAAAAGATGACACATTCG